CGGCACGCCTCAGGCCGCCATCTTTGCTCCTTCAGAAGTCCGCCAACCCTGCGGGGTCGGTTTCCGCCAGCCTCTGCCCCTCGGCACTGATTGGAGAACGACTTGCGCAGGCGCGCTCTCCTTCCGTTGGAGGTTGGTTGTAACGCACGTCAATCAAGAGTCCTAGTGCACTCGTTCCATCCCTTTTTGTTGGATTGGTTCCCAGGGTTGAGGTAATAAGGAAAAATGCTTTTGTAATTCATTCGTTAGGAATGTAACATTATTTCCGCATAGAAGCAGTGTCACTTTCTGGTAAAGTAGTTTGAGTAGGCCGCATGACTATTTTAAACCACCGTTAGGCTAAACAGTAGCAGTAATAATTTCCTTCTGTGGACGAGACGGGGACACATGCTGACCTGAGGAGCTCAGGGAAGGCCTGCGTGGCGGCCTTGCAAACTCAGAGACCTAAAGTAACCTCAAAGGATAGTCTGAAATTAAAACTTTTTAAACTAAAAAGCGGTTTATGGTGGGTAGTAATGTCCTAGGCTGGTCTCTTCTCTGACAAAAGTCCATCTTTATTTTGAGCCTGTCTGTTGTCTTTTTGCATCTATGATAACATATCGTTGGTCAATGCAACATTAATGGGATATTTTGAAGACTTATCACCCCCTGCCCCCCAACACAGGTATTATTCTTCTTGGGACCCAGGCAACTAGAGAAGAACCAAAAACAAAACCATAAAATAGTGTCAACGGAGATAATAGAGATTGTTCTCATTTATTTCCTCTTTCTTAACAACCATCTCCCTTCATGTTTAAAAATTCTCTGCAGAGCCCTAGCCAGTTTGGTTCAGTGGATGGAGTGTCAGCCTGAGGACCCAAGGGTCCTGGGTCCGATTCCATTCAAGGGCACATACTTTTGTTGCCTGCTCCTCCCCAGGGGCTCTGGTTGGGACTCCTGCAGGAGGCAACCAATCATCAAGCATGTGTTTCTCTCACATGAATATTTCTGTCTTTCCCTCTTTCTTCCACTCTCTCTAAAAGTCAATGGAAAAATATCCTCAGATGAGTCTTAAAAATAAGAATAATAAAAATTCTGCAGATCCAATGGTATTCCCCAAACCAACGACAAACACAAAAATTTTTGTAAAATGCTATTATATTTGCTTGGAGAAACTAGTAATTATATTATGAATCAACAAGCAGGAATTCTAGATCACCTAGGTAAACCTCTGTTGTAATTTAGAAATTCTGAAAGATTTCTGACAAAAAAAAAATGATCAAAGACTTTGCTTAAGCCTGTGCAGCGACTGCTGGGTACCCCCAGTGTTCTTCTACCTTCTTCCTTATGAAAAGCGATCATATTTCCCAGGCTTCCTCCCTGGTAAGGTGTGGCATGTGACTAACCAAGTGAAAAAAGGGTCATTCAAGATTTTGCCTAGCAACCAATAGCTAGGGAATGCATTAGCTTTGGGGATATCCTGTTCTTCATTTGAATAATTATAATTATTAGAATATTCTTCCTAATTAAAATAATTTGGAATCAGTCAACCTATCACTTCCACTCATCATTAATCTTATAGTATAATGTGCCCTGGTTGGGGGTTCAATCCCAGGTCAGGGCACATACAAGAAGCAACCAATGGGGAGCATTATCTCAATTCGTAGAGGTTCTGTTTCCTGGCATATGTCTACAGTTTGGCTCAAATAAACTCACAAAAATTCAAAAAAAAAAAAAAAAAGAAGAAGCAACCAATGAATGCATAAACAAGTGGAACAACAAATTGATGTTGCTCTCTTTTTCTTTCTCTCTCTCTAACATCAATAATAATAATAAATAAATAAATAAAAAATATAAAAAGAAGGGCAATATAATTCTATGGTGTTAAGTTTGAGAAACGGAGAAAGGCAAAATAAAAAAATCTTGTATGTGTAGCATGTGTCAGACTCATTTAATCCTCACACCAACCTATGACTTAGATACTGTTATCATCATCATCATGATGACCCTTATTTTACAATTAAGGAAAAGGACACAGAAGAGTTATGTGAATTGCCCAGTTCATGTGCTTGGTTAAGTAGCAGAACCAGGATCTGAACCCACCCGATATGTTTCCAAAGTATGTGCTCTTAAGTTCCACATTAAACTATCTAATTATTTCCTCTAGAAGAATACTGGTAACAGTGAGACTTTCAAGAACAGATCTTTAGCAATCTGACGATATATACTAAATATTTCAAGAGAGTTACTTTCTTTTCTCTAGGTTAAAGCCTCAATTCCTACAATTGCTCATGAAAATAAGTTACCCTGAATCTCTCACCATTTTGCATCTTAGTAGCAAATAATTTTATCGATGTCCTTCTTAAAAGGTGATGGTCTTTAAACTTGTGATATCTTTTTTTAATTTTTTTTATTTTTTTACTTATTTCAGAGAAGAAGGGAGAGGAGATAGAAACATCAATGATGAGAGAGAATCATTGATTGGCTGCCTCCTGCACGCTCCACCCTGGGGATCGAGCCTGCAACCCAGGCATGTGCCCTTGACTGGAATCGAACCCGGGACCCTTCAGTCCGAAGGCCAATGCTCTATTCATTGAGCTAAACTAGCTAGGGCTTGTGATATCTTTTTAAAAAAATGTTTTTATTGATATTTAAAGAGAGAGGAAGGGAGATGGAAACATCAAAGAGAAACACCATGATTGGTTGCCTCCTGTAAGCCCTCTACAGGGAAATCGAGCCTGCAACCCAGGCATGTGCGCTGACCAGGAATCAAACCATGACCTCTTGGTTCATGGGTCTATGCTCAACCCTGAGCCACATCCGCCAGGCCAAACTTGTGATATTTTAAAATAGGCAGGTATCTCTTGCTTGCCATCTCTCTTTTTATTTTAAATAAGGGAGTTTAGCTCTAGCTGGTTTGGCTCAGTGGATAGAGCGTTGGCCTGCGGACTGAAGGGTCCTGGGTTCAATTCCGGCCAAGGGCACAGGCCTGGGTTGCGGGCTCAATCCTGATGGTGCAGGAGGCAGCCAATCAATGATTCTCTCTCATCATTGATGTTTCTATCTCTCTCTCCTTCTCCCTTCCTCTCTGAAATCAATAAAAATATGTTTTTTTTAAAAAGGGAGTTTATATTTATCTTCACTAAAAATCTAGATTGTTGGAGAGTATGGGCTATCAGAATACCTAGGTTTGAATCCACGCTCTGCCACTAACTAGCTATATGACTTTAATCTTGGAAAAAAATCATTTAGCCTTAATCCCCTTACCTGTAAAATGTTGATAATAATATACCTGCCTCCTAAGGTTGTTGTATTAGAGTTAACATCTGTAAAGTACACAAAACAGTGCTTTGCAATTAGTAAATGCCCCATATGTTAGGCATTACTGATTGAACTCGAACTATTAAAATAAGTTAGTCTCTGTAGTTCATGAAAGGACTATATTAACAACTTTTAGGCCTTCATGTTACTTTAAAAAATTAATAAATATCACTTTTGTGCCATTGTTTTTGCATGTTGAAAAGGACTGGGCCACTGACAAAAGCCCATGCATGGCATGGCATGGAAGGTTTTCCTCAAACCTGACACTGATCTTTTATTTACAAATTTTTTTTTATTCTTTTTTTTTTTTTTAAATATGGAACGCTTCACAAATTTGTGTGTCATCCTTGCGCAGGGGCCATGCTAATCTTCTCTGTATCGTTCCAATTTTAGTATATGTGCTGCCGAAGCGAGCACTATTTAAAATTTTTTAAATTGATTCTAGCCCAGCCAGTGTGGCTTACTGGTTGAGTGTCAACCTGTGAGCTAGGAGGTCACGGTTCCATGCCCAGTCAGGCAGGGTACATGCCTGGGTTGCTGGCTCGATCCCCAAAAGAGGGCATGCAGGAGGCAACCAATCAATGATTCTCATCATTGATGTTTCTATCTGTCCCTCTCCCTTCCTTTCTAAAACCAATAAAAAAATATTTTAAAATTTACTATTAAAAAAGTTGATTTTAGAGGGAGGTAGGGAAGGAGGGAGGCATGGAAAGAAATGTCGATTTGTTGTTCCACTTAGTTGTGCATTCATTGTTTGCTTCTTATATGTGCCCTGACCAGAGATTGAACTCAAAACATTGGTGTATTAGGATGACACTATAACCAACTGAACTACTGAGCCAGGGCCTTTATAAAAAGAAATTTGTTTATTGGATATATTGGGGTGACATTGGTTAATAACATTACATAGGTTTTAGGTATACAATCTACTAATAAAAGGGTAATTTGCTAATTAGACTGGGAGACCTTCCGGGAGACCTTTTGGACAAAGCCATGGTGGTGGGGCTGAGGTAGAGGTGGTTAGAAGCAATCAGGCCAGGA